CCGGCATTCCGTGGCCGCTGATTTGCCTAACGTGGACAATCAGGGAGGAACTACCATCGCCTAACTTCTGATTGGCCATCTCACACAATCAAAAGAAACCGTCTAATCTTGGATACTCATCAGACCCTTGTCAGTAAGGAACATTATAAAAAGGGCTATCTGTGTGCACTAATATACTTGGCGATGATGTAGGTATCTACTGAAATAGATCCTTTAGTCAGGGAGCCACAGTGGAATGTCAATTTCTTACTATCTGATTGCAATCTACAGCGTACATTTGGTTTTCGCCATTGCGCTCGGTTACGCGGTACTCATAGCAACTCATGTCGCTCAAGTTAATCAATCTGAACATCAATTTTATCAGATTAATCAGTCAAAGCTGCATAAAGTTGATAAACGGGACAGCAGGATAGGATAGTTGATAACGCCTACTTTTCAAATCACTTTCGAATCTTGACGACAGAGTCTCAGACTGCTCTTCCCACATTCTGCGCAAATACACATAGCATAGAAAAATCCATCGGTCCTACTGTATCGCAAAATTGAAAAGTTCATGGGATTAACCTTTATTTCAAGCAGGTCATCCAGAAGACATTTGAAAAGCACTTCACTCGGAATCCACGTATGTTTTCTATTGGCGCCAATTTTCGTGCGACATCGCCACTTCTGATTTCCGTGCTTCAGAGAAACTTCGTAGATGTCCCCGGACATTAGTCGCGCGAAGCCGACGATGCCTAAAATCCACTGAAACAAGTGATTAAGGCGAATTGGTGGTCGTTCGTCTTAGCTACCCTTCGGAACGAACTTCAGATTGCCTGTCAGTGCCTCCAGCTCGCTTTGAATTTTGATCACCTTGTCGCTGAGCTGCTTCAAGCCGCTTTTCAGACTTTGAGACGCCTTGCCGGTCAGTCCTCTTCGACTCAAAGTCGCCTCCTGCTTCCACGTGTATATCTGCTCATACTGCTCCTTCAACTCACGAGCGGCACTCACTTTGAACTCGAGTCTCTTGAGATAACGCTCGGTGATTTTCATCTGCTAAAATCAAACCACGCATCAAAGTAAGGTAGTAGGTAGTAAGGTTTCGCTGTAAGTCTTAGGTACATCTTCCTGCGGCCATATTCTTAT